CGCTTCTTGGTGCGATTCGTCCATAGGTTCCTTCAGGAACTTGGGCGCTTAGCCCTGTTTTGATAAGCATGCGAGATTGAGGTGGTATTATCTGGTCTTTGCTTGCATAGAGATCAAGTCCTGCGGCTTCATCTGTTCCTCTAGTGGGTATTTGTCCTCCTTCCGAGATAGTGACCGCAAATTCTGTTTCTTCTCTAAGGAGTGCTGAGTTGTTGGATGGAAGGGCATTGATGTTTCTTCCTTCATTATCTGGTAATTCCTCGATTTCGCATTTTTGAATTCTTTTTGAGAAGTCTAGAGTGCCTTTGTTCCAGTTGATGGATGGGTTTCTTTCTTGTAACCAGTCCATGCCGAGGATGATGTCTTGTTTGCCTAATTGGGTAACTAACAACCTTTCTTTGGTAGGTTGATTTCCCACGTTCATGTCAATTTCGACTTCATTGCGAATGAACCCCAATTCGTTCGGGGTTCCGTCGACATTGAATACTTTGATTGGTTTTTTCAAAGGTTTCTCTTGTAGTCCTAACTTCTGGACTGTTCTTCGATTGATGAATTTGCCTTGTGCTCCTGAGTCAACTAGTGCAAGGACTTTTCCAACGGTTTCTTTTGCTCTGATTTGGATGGGAATACGCATTGATTTTGATTGCATATTGGCAATTAATACAGAGGAAATTGATATTCTAAGAGGTGTTGACATTGGGGCAACCCTCAGACATGAAAATCCGGATTAGCTTCGAGATAACGGGTGAAGAGATTCTTAGCATCTTCTTGAGAGAGTTTGGTTACTTCTTTGACCAAATCTCTAGGTTCGTTGTTGAGATCAATGAGGTTGGGTTCCTCTCTGACCATTGTAGTGCGGACATTGGTGGAATTTCCTTTATTCCATTGTCCTGATCTCTGGTTTGTCTGAGGACGGTTGCCTTGTTGCGAGCGATTGGGTTGGTATCTTCCTTGCTGGTCGTGTTGTTGGGGTTTCTTGGGCGAAGGACAATTTCTGGCAATATGTCCTTTGCCTTTGCAATTGAAGCATCGTCCTTCCCGGCGTGTTTGGTCTCGGGAGACGGCGTCAATGTCCATGGCATCGGGGTCGCGTTCCTGAGTTCTTCCTCCTCCTCCATTTCCTCCAGAGCGAGAAGTAGTCTTGTCGATCCTTCCCCTTTGTCTTCCTCGTCTGAGCTTGTCCCATTCTATTTCTGCGTTGTCCAGCTTGAGTGCTTCTTCTTGCCATCTTTGGAGTGTGATTGGCTTCTTCTCTTGTTGGATGAGAGTCTTTGCAAGGACGGATTTGAGTCCTCCTGTATAGGTACGTTGGAGGTAGGTGTCTGTGCTCGGGTTGTTGTACTTGGCTTCTTTGACGAGTCGGTTAAATTTGACGTTGTAGTCATTGACTAAATCGAAGTCTGACTGCATTATTCTGTCGAGTTTTACGATGGCGTCGACTTCGCTATCCACTTTTTGAAAGGCTTTGGCAAAGTCTTCCTTGAATTTGGTCTATGTGGGCCAAGTTGTGCTAGCTTCGTATTCGTCAAACTTGGTGCGACACCAGTCGTGTGGCTTCTTCTCGGTGTTGTTGAGTACAAAGAGAATTTTCTTTGCATCCTTGGTTGTGTCTTTGCCTTTGAAGTAGATGTCGCAGTCTTTCAGAAAGTCTTGAATTTGCTGCGTGCCATCGAACTTCTGAGGCTTCGGAGTAGAGGCATGTTCGTTTGCTTTTTGAAGTGCCTCAATCATTTCTCGCATGAGAGTATTTGTGTCTGTCATTGTGGAGAGTGTCTGAAGTTGTCTGGTAACTTCGTATATTTCTTCCTGTCGTTCAGGTGGGATAGGTATGTCGAGATTCGGGAAGGGAATATCGAATGGTTCGAGTCTGATTTCTGGTACCTGAAGTGATCCTTGTACTTCGGATGTTTCATTGTCTACTTCGATAGAGGTAGAGGTTTCTGCTCTGCTGGGTGCTCGGCTATGTCTGCGAGATTGATCGTATGGGTGTGGTGTCTGTGGTCTGGATGGTGGTACACTGGCGGATAGTTGAATTGCTTGTTGGGCTTGTTCTTCTCTAAGCCTGGCTTCTTCGTTAAGCCTGTTCCTTTCTTGAATGAATTCTTCTTGTGCTGGGTCGCAGAGGACGAGTCCTTGTGGTACTCGTACTGTTCCTTGATATGCGTAGTATCAGTTGGGGCAGAGTTGTTGAAAACAACGTCTCCAATGTCCTTCGTCGTATCGATGGTAGTCGTGCCTATTGTCAGGCCTAAAGTTATGTCTGTGTGCTGCTGTGGCGCAGTCGCTCACCCCAGTTGCTTGTGGAGTAGTCGTCTTGACTATTCTTCGTGGCGTAGACCTGTCTTAGGTCCGCCTTGTTGAGAAGCTTTCAGCTAATGTTATGACAGAGGTTTCTTAGCAAGCCTGAAGCTTGTCTGATCGCCTTATCCGCAGATGAGGTTAGAGCAGAATAAAGAAACTTGAATATACAAAAGAGCTGAAAGCTGAAGTTGTACTGTACATGCGCGGGGTATATATACTACTGCTCAGCCTAACCTAAGGACTAGTCTACTAGTCAAAAGGACTGCGGGTGAGTCAGTGGAGCTGCGCTCTATGAGTTGACGATGGTTGTACTACTAAACTAGAGTCAGAGACAAAAAAGGAAATGATATCCCACGCCACCATGCCCATCATAACATACATAATTTAACACTTACAAATTACCTCTCACCAGCTATGCTGCTGGAAAGTCATCCACTCCCTGGAGTGCTTCTGGTCGTCTGAAAGCGGCATGGCTTTGTAAGCAAAGCTTCCGGCCATCTACTACTCTTGTACTTCCCATCTTTGCCACCGAGTAACATCTGTAAAGGGTATGTTCTCTCCCCCATGCCCTACAATTTGGCGGTATTGATGACGAGAGGTGAGCAGTTCATTTGGAGCTGCGCAACATCTGTGCTACTGACCATTCTGAGGCTATGTCACTTATATACGCATTTATTAACTGGCTGATGTAGTATGCAAGACCAAACAGATATGCTGCAGATGCAGACCGCCCAGGGGAAGGTATGACAGGGCTTGAGCCTTGGCCTGGACAAAGAGGCGTGCTTTCAACATGGTGAAATCAAGATTCTGTGTGAGCATTATGACCAGCCTGTCTTCAGGCCCTCTCCAAAGACAAGCTGGTCATAATGCTCATGCAGAATCTTAATTTCACCAATGTTGGAAGCACGCCTCTTTGTCCAAGTGGTCATGGACAAAGCATTCATGGCACATGCTCTGGACAATTCTTAGGCTTGACATATGGAGCATAGATTTAATTTTGCATTACTCAAGTCAGTGTGACATGCCCATCTGTACTTGTACCACCTTGCTGCAGTTTCTTATTTTGTCCATCAATGTTTAGGCAGAGGACCATGTAATGACCCTTTGTGTATGCTAATACTTACAGAACTATTGCTCTCCAGCAATGCTGCTGGAAAGTCAACCTGTTCTTGGGCGCCTTCCTGCCATCTACTGCATCTGGCCTACTGCACCCGAGCCTTGGACATTTCGCAGCTGCGCGTACCTGTACTACGACCATGTATATGACTACCTGCCTTTGCAACTATAACTATACATATTTGTACTGGTATGCATGCAACAACTGCTGTCTGCAGTTCAAGATCATATTTATTCTGGGTGCTATGATTGTCCTGAATGGCACTATGCAGAGGAATCGGCAATGGGCACTTGACGCCCATATCCACCAGTAAATAACTGTATACCTTCCAGAGCTGTAATTTGCTGAGTACACGTGATAGTAACCTATGATATACAAATACATCGTGATCATCGCGCACTGGAACAGGCTCGCTCCCATGAGCGCGCTCGACCCAACCATCGCTCAGCGCCGCCCGATGCGCGGGACCTCGATGAGGGCCGTGCCAAAAAAGCACCTCAGGCACGCCCACGACGGTGACGACGATGCTGCAGGAGAGGTAGCGAGCAGAAGCAAAACAATGTTACGAGAGACAATATACACAGCTAGTTCCTGTCTACATGCGTCGTGCTGAGGCTCTGCACCACACCACGATCGGCGAGGAACTTGAGTCCCTCTGCCCATACACTGGCCCTCGTCCTGCATCTCTCATCTTGGCCAACTGCTGCCGGCTGATTTCGGCTGGCGGGTCGGAGCGCACGGGAGGAGACGAGACGGTGGTGGTGGTGGCCTCTGCCTAGCTGCCTCACACAGTTCCCGGAGGCCGTGCTTGTTGGTGCGCAGTTGTGCACGCACAACGGCGGCCGCCATGAGCTGTTGCTGGCACGACGTCACGCCGCTTTTGCTCTTCATCGCGGTAGCTGGTCACTTTCGTGCTCCTGGCCATCTTGCGCAGCTCG